TTACCTTGGTTTGTGATTGGCTAATGGTTGCACAAGCCAAAACATCGTGATGACATCATAAAGTGTCCAAAATATTTTTATATAAATGGATCAGGACAAAAAGAGAGAGAATATTTTTTCCTGAAACTTTCAGAATCTCTTAAAACAGAAGGGACACATGTTGATGTATAAAAGACATGAAAAAGTGGATTTTGCATAATAGGTGACCTTTAAATACCGCTATATGACAACAACTGCATTAAAAACCAGTTCCTTTCAATTCCACTGCTTTCTCTGCTTTGTTTTTCCGACGCACACAGCTGGAGAGAATTAGCCAGGCGACAAGCCCGCCAGCCAGCAAACTGATGACTCCCACAACCACTGGCACCCACACAGGCAAAGAGGGGGGGCACCTGGGAACAGGAAGTGTTGTTACAGCAGTGGTGGGGTTGGTGGTGGTGTTGGGGGGGACGGTCACTGCGGGACTTGGTAGGCTGTTGATCTTAGTGAAGAGGAAAGGATTCGCCTGTAGGAAACACATCACGGCTCAGTGGAGTCATTCATGAAAACTTTGAAAAAGAACCAACAGCGGCAACAACAATCACTGCATTTGGAAACCCCTAAAATGTATCTGTTTCTGTATTGGTTACTTATTATATACTGAACTTCAGAATATTTTAGCTGTGTTTAAAGACAATTGTATATATATAAAATAACACTTTTGTTCTCCAGACTGAATAATATGTAAAAAAAAAAAATTAATAATTAATAAGTAAATCAATACAGTCAATATAATTTGGGTTGTGAGCAGTGGGATTTCCCTCCAGACTTCATAAATCTATTCACTCACCTCAGAGGGACAGTTAATTTTCGATCGGTCATATGTGAAGTTGTTGTAGTTTTGCTTTCTTCCAACGGGCTCCAACTATTCAAAAACATGGAGGGAAGTTTTTATAAAACCACAAAAAACACTATGCATTGTGCTGCAGTAGTTTGGTTGCTCCTTGCTCACCATGTTATTCCACAAAGCTACGGCCATCTCAGCATGAGCTCGCTCACTCATGTGGAAACAGTCCACAGAGAAGAAACTCGAGTCAACCTCACCCTCCTGGTAAAAAAAAAGTAGATTTTAAAATCACAGTTCAAGTTTAGTGACATTTTTAGAGCGTTTCAGATTTTATAATGGGTGTTGGGAAAATACTGAATGTACTCTTCCAATATCAGAGTAGCACACGATAACAAAGGCCCTATGTAGCTGTGGACGTAACCGGATGTATGATTACCTAGAAGAGCGTCAGGACACACTGTTTTAGGAATATGATAGCTATGTGATTAACATGATGATTCAGCCTCTATGGAGATACACATATGACAATCATGATCATTTCGGACGTGGGTTTTAGCTAATCTGAACTAAACATTGAATACTGCTTTGAACCGGTATTCCTCCATCTTGTGACTGTAACTCCCTCTCTTGTATATCAGCACTGTTCAGGAACTAGTTGTACCAAATGCTCTGTGTGAGATGACTACTTCCATTCTTGTCAGGATAATAAATACATGTATCCTGATTGTTGAAGCTCAAGCTGGTGACGAGTGATATTTTTCAAACAATGGGTGTGTACGTGACGGAATGTTCAGACATTCCAAAGGGACGACATCATCACTTCTTAGAGTGTCTGAACATTCCGCCTTAGAGTGTTAAAAGTCAGTAAAATTCATGAAAGAAAGATCTTAAACCTGATCTAAATCTTATAGTTTTCACTCTTTTCACATCATTTTAGATGATGTTCGTAGCAAGATTAGTCAGCGTTGTCTCGATGCCTTCATTATATAAAATTGACTGAAACGGCCCATCAGTGACAAAAACTCTATCTGTGCCATAGGGCACATATCCACGCCCATGTTACATTTTCTGTTGGGAGAGCCCTGAGACTTTAGGAGAACTGCTGTCACAGCCACATGTTACTGTCTAAATACACACAAATCAAACAAATGGTTCATAAGGGGACACAGATGCTAACCCCAAATAATTGTATCAATACTATTTACGATTTTCTGAAGATGAGGCTAAACTGTCACAGATAAACCTCAATACATTCTGAATGAGACTCAGTGCTTCACCGAGGAACTGCACCAAGTGCCAGTCACACAGTCAACATTTTTTAGGGGAATTTCTAGTAATGTCCTAATGTTTCTTTCTGTATCTCTGTTACTTACTCCAATATGCGGGATGAAGAAATTCTCTAAAAAGGGTTGAAGGACGACAGCAAAGTCTTCTTTTCCCTCAAAGTGATCTCCGGAGATAAGATACTGGATTTCAGCCTGGGAAGAAAAAAAAGAAAATTGGATAAAAGACAGAGCGAACCCCATTAAAACAAAAATATTTAAATGGTTAAAGAACTCTTTGTTAACCTGATACTCGCGATTGATTCGTTTCATTTCTTCAAGCTCTGGGGAGTTTTCAGTTGGGTTGATGACACAGGGACAGCTGGCTCTGTACAAAAAAAGAAGACATTGAGAGATGTGATCATATCAAAGGGTTAGCACTGAACTATCTTATCCACTATATTATCCAAAATGTTTTCCAATTCGTAAAGCTTGTGTATTTCTTCTCACTGCTTGAGAAAATCTATATCTTTCTTAGACTTGAATGGTTGAGGAGACACTACACCAATGTAAGGACCAATGTTAGACCGGCATTTATTACTTTTTTTGTTTTGTTTTACCACTAGAGAGCAGCAGAAACCCGCTTTAAAATACCGATGACCTACCTATCACCCTTTTACATTTGAATTGCATAGCGTCACCCTTCATGTCAACACATAGCAACATTAGCATTCATTGTTTTGTGTTTCGTCAAATGTCCCACCTTCTTGCTCTGTTTTGGTCTCCACCAACTCCTGCTATAAATATGTTTTCCCTTGAGCAGCTAAATGCTCCAGTATGTTCTTGCTTTAAAAAAAAACAAAAACAAGAAAAACAGGCAAACCTCTGCAAGAACGAACAGCCAAGTGTGTTCCTCTTCACTGATTTCAATGTATCTATCTGTAAGATCAGCACAACGTTAACCAGCAGCCTCGGTACCTAGAGATGCAGAGAGAAGAAGAAAACATGACATCTTGTACTCACAAGAACTGCAGATGACATTCATATAGTGTTTAATATCTCACCTCTCTGTAAAACATGTCCAAACCGCGCATGAGATTTTGGCTGTAGTTCGTGGGGGACAGGTTATTCTGCAGAAATATGTAAAATATGTTTTTTACTGCAGATCAATAACATACAGAAGTGTGCAAGTTATTTATGTACGTACATGCATTTAAAAAAAGACTTACTTGGTCTATACAGTACTGGCAAAGATCATTCCCTCCAACAAATATTGTCGCAAGTTTCCAGTCCTTTTCAAAATTCACCCCCTGTGTAAAATGTACCAAACATGTTTATGAAAGACAGAATTAGAGCTTTTCTGATACATTACTTATCTTTGATGTAATCTTACCTTATTTTCTTTCATGGCCTTGATGAGGGCTTGGACTTGCATTGGGATCTCTCTGTAGCAGAACAAATACAGTAAGGTGTTAGGTGACAGCGGGAAGCTCAAAAAGTTTACACAGATGGAGGAGAAAGTCAAAGAATATATACGTACGAGGTCTTAGCTCCAGCTACAGCCATGTTGAAGGCCTTCTGTCTGGAGCCCTGGCCTCTGGAGAAACCCTTTAACGTGGGGTTAAACATCTTCAAGATGTCTGGGATTAAGAGAAAAACAACTAAGTAACAGCCCGGGTTATAATTTCAATGTAGGTTTTTGATCGTTGTCACATACAGAATATTAACTCAGAGAAACTGTGCTTAAACTCACTTGGTAATGTTGTGACTGTCTCCAAAGAAGCATCACCTCCAATGCTGCAAGAAAAAGTAATCAGCCTGGTTTGAAAAATATGTTGGTAAATGTAAACTTAATTAACACTACACGTATGTCGTACCTCCATGATACTCCTTTGTATTCTCTGTTGACGTTAAACAGGTTCTTTGCCTTAGCACCAGTGCCTGCCTATTAACAGAAAGACACACATGAAGACAGACAAATATAAATGAAATAAAAAGAATGTGTGTAACCCTTGAAAAGCTTCTTTATCATGGAGGATACAGTCATTTCAAAGGCTGTGTCCTGGTGTAAAATGTGTGTATTAACAATGTAATTACAGTGTAATATTGGTGTTGCATGCGTGTAATATGGGTCTAATAACAGCGTAACATGGGTATAATATGGGCGTTATAATGGAGTTACATGAGTGTAATAGGGGTGTAATAATGTGTGATATATTATGGGGAAAGTAACAGTGTAATATGGGTGTAATGTGGAGAAAAACGATCATAGATTTTTTTGATATGTGATTGCCCATTTAAGGGTTAAGAAGACACTGACACACTGTCAAAGATAAGTCTTACATCAAAGCCTGAATACCCGAACATAAAATACATGATCATCACTGGTGTAAGCTTTCTGGCTGATAACAAATTGATTGGAGAGTTCATAGTTCAATGACAACAATTAACTGATATTAAAAGGTTCAGTTAAAGGTCCCATGACATGGCCATTTCTACTGATCATAAATCCATTATTGAGGTATACTAAAAATAAATTTATATTGTGCAATTTTCCAAACTCACATTGGTTTCTCCTACAGCATCGCTGTATAGTATGTGTATTCACTCTCTGTCCTAAACGGCTTGTTGGAGCTCCTGCCTAGCGACTCCTAGCAAGTTTTACTCGCTACAGGGTGTACTTTGAGGGTTTGTGACTCTGCAGACCGTTTAGCCTACATGCAGAAAAAGC